CATGTGATGCTAATGACGATGCTAATGATGGTTTATTAAATAATGGTGCAAGAACAAATGAATATATTCAATCTGATCAGCTATGGTCATATTTATTAAATATTAAACCGAAGTCAACACCAAATATGAAACTAGTTATTGCCTACGTATTTTCTATTCCATGTAGCAATGCTTTTGTTGAATCAATATTCAGTCACATGAGTCACTTATGGTCTGATTATCGAAATCGAATGAATATCGAACTGGTCGAAGCTGAACTACAAATCAGAATGAATTCCAATATTCCTTGTGCACATTTTTATGACTTTCTTTTAACTCAAGAGGAACTATTGAAACACATAGCTTCAAATGAAAAATTTTTTAGAAAAAAACGTCTTGATAAATGAACTTTAGTTTTTTTTTCAATAAGTATTTTCAATTGTATATATACACATGTATACCTAGTTTATTTTGAGTTGTTTTTCTTGTATTGACTGTCTCTTCTTGAAAGTGACGTTTTCTAATAGTGCTATATTTAATGTATTTGTTTTAATATTGATGAAATATATCTACAGAGAGGATAACCAAACTCAGAAAGCTTTTTTTACCAGACAAAAAATCAACTTAAGCGTTGAAAAGCTTAGAAACTACTTTCCGAATTTTTTCCGAATTGGCCAGATACTTTTTCCGAAAATTTCCGAATTCAGGCAAACAAATTCCGATTTTTAAGATTTTGATCTGGCAACCCTGGTCAATATGTAGGGTTTGTGTGGTAGTATATACCACCAAAGTTTCATGATTCTAAACCTTGTTATTGAAAAATAGCGAAATAAACAATGTATGGGTATCGATTTGGTTATCCTCATTTTTGACCTGAGGGTGCCCGTATTGTAACTTTAATATCTCAAGAAGGGAATGGTTTTGAGAGCTGAAATTTTAGGTGTTTTCTTAGAACACTTGGGACTACATGTGGGCAAAGTTTCATCGAAATCTGTGTCATTCATTGAGCACGATGTGTCGTGGCTTTCGTGCATTGACTCCTAGGTGCAGTTACAGTAATCGTCCTAAAGCACGTTAGCTACAAGCAGTGTGGTCATTTCCGAAGTCGAAAGTTTGAGTGGGAAAGTCACCAAACTGTGGGTCTACTGCGAAGCCGATCATTGGAATCCAACTTAAATCCATTTAAGCAACAGCCCATCAAGAACTCCAGTATGGATGCGAAATTGGGAGGGAATGTAGGACGAATAGCTGGACTAAGTCGGAAACCTGAACGAAAAATTAGGTCTGGCAGAGTTTGCATTGAACATAGGCAGCGTAGTTTGGTCTTTGAATCACGATGAAAGCGAATAATGTAACTGACGGCACACGAAAAATTTAGGTGGTGTCTAAACGCAAGGGCTCACCAAAACTAATAGCAAATCCATAACTTGGACTGTGACGTAGTCAACCACTAGAACTGGAACACAAATTATAATGGAAATAGAGCCACAGAGGGGAATGCAGATGAAAACATGAAGAAAGGTGGTGGCCGAGACAAATATTCAAACGAAATCCCAAGTTTCTGCGAGATCAAGAAGAAATCCAAATTCGAGACTGCATCTGAGTCTCGATCTTTGACGAGGAACGTGGCCATAGACACGAAATGCTTCTAGAAGTAACATCCGAAAGCAATATCTTCTCTTATATATAGAAGGTACGTTTGATACTTCGTTTCAACCGAATCAGTGGTATTGAGCAGCATACTATTGCTTGTGAAGCGTTCATATTTTTCCTATTCTGTCGAACAATGAGAAAGAAACAAATAAAGCCGTGGTATAGTGTACAATTTTTGAACCTTCAATTTATCTTTTTTCTCTCTTCGTCGATGAGGTCGTTCGAACAGTGAATAAGAGAACAAGCAAAACAATGATAATATAGGTATGTAAAAAATCTCACAGATGTATGATTATGTGCTATTCTACGTATATGGATGAATGAACACGAGCAGATTCACCTCACGATGTATATCTAGGGAATATAATGCTTTCGCTTCTTGCATAGAACAGCGTTAATAACTACACTATTATTCCAGTCGTGAACAGACAAGAGTTGACATGAATACAGGGAGCAAACATTTTTCGCTTGAAAATGTAGCTTTTTCAGATGAGTATTCTCACCATCCGTATTCAACACGTTTTTTGTATCGTTTTATTTTCGTATCACACTAATTATTTTCCAGCTGAAAAAAAAAGTTCTCATACTTTGCACAAAATGATCAGAAATGATTTTGCTCAATTTCAAATTGCTTTCTATATCAATTTAGAGAACAAAACTTCTGTTTAATAATTTGAAACATGATCGTTCTTTAGGTGTTAATAAATCGAAGCTATTCAGTGAAAGTATTTCCAATGTATCTTTGTTACTGGGGAATGATATTACGGAATGGATTGCTATTCATAATTATCATCATAAAGTGCTAATTTAGACTTTATTAGTGAAAAATGTATCAAAATTGCGCATAATTCATGCCACACAGTGCGCATGATTGTTATCCATACTCAGTTTCAACTTGTTATTACTAATATTACATATATCAACTCAAATCACAAAGAAAATTATAGGAAAAAGAGTTTCGATAAAGCTATCAAAAGCAAATATTTTTATCGTTACCACTTTATTTCTGTACACTCAAGTCGCGTAGAAGAAGCCGGTGTCAGATAACTCCATCGCTTAGCAGTAGCCTAACAAAACGAGGAAATGAATCACTCGAGCATGACGTGTTTTTCACTCTGCTCAAATTGAGTATATTTTTTGTACTGCAATTGATTCATGACTGATCATTATTGTGCAAAGAACATTGTTTAGAGTATATTGCATAGCAGGTAACATCTTTTTTAAAAGACATTCAGAATTTACTCCGATTGAGCGTACATTGTTTTTCATTATAAAACGAATTACTAGTTGGTAATAATCAAGAGGGAAAAAGCAGATTTCAAGATTTTAAGATTCCCAAAGATTTCTAGAGATTTTCAAAGATTTTAGGTGCCAAAATCTGCTTTTTCCCCCTTGAAATATCGGCTCACAAGTTCCGTCCAAACTAATTATTTGAGCTTCTTAAAGAGTATTTCACTACTTTCGAAAAAAAACTGGAACAAAATTTCTAAGCCCATATTCGAAAAGAGCACAAAATTCTGGTCCTCACCCATAGCTTATGACATGTCGGAAATACTTTCTCACAGGTGAAAAATGAAGACACATTTTGTCTAAAAATGTTTTGATCACTCGTTATATTAAGTATTTGAATGTGCTGAATAATAAAACGAGTTTCGATGGAAGATAAGCTTTTTAGTATATCGCGAAGTAACATTTTGTTCATTGAGTTTAAGTAGAAGCCTAGAAACATTTTCTCTATTATTGGTCATAGCGTTTATATTCTTTTGAGTTATCAATACTATACATTAGTGGACAGAAAAATTCAAAAATGATGATGAGTTAGACTATGACTTCTTCATGATTACTGAATATGAATGTGGATGCTTTTTACACCATATAGAACTGGCACTGAGTGAACCTGATTTCCAGTAGGATATAAGGTAAAGGTGAGAATCCATGTCAGAAGAATTCTGTCCGAAGCCGACACTAAAGGTGAGAATGCTACCGAGCCTCTGAGTTCTCGCTTTAGCACGACATAAACAGAAACCTTCTTGGCTTTCGAGACTTTTCACGAAAACTTGACACTAATACAGGAAGGACTCAGACTTCGGATGCAGTCCATTATGAAGATGAGACCATGATCAGGATGAGGTCTGCAATCCAGCTGCATGCTAACGAGAAAATATTTTTAACTAACAAGTACCATTTGAGCTCATCTGTACAAATTATCTAAAAGAATTCACATCATTCCCGCTTAGTTTCAGAATTAGAAACGGAACAAGTATTATGATGATTGGCACTAGCTTCTTTGCGTTATTTGTTTATCAGCTCTTATTTTAACTAGGATTTTTTTTTGCCTTTTAAAATCTGATTACTAAATTATCTTGTTTATGACTACTCATCCTTAAATTTTCAGCTGAATATGAATTGGCTTTGAGACGACAGAAAACAAGAGTTCTTCTAATGATTCTTCTATCACAAAAAAATGACACGCTGCGGATTTTCTTCAGAAAATAATGAAATATTACTCTTTAGGCTGCATAGAACAGAACCCTCTTGTTGTATCCTAATCAGCTTTTTAATTTTTTATTTGAATGTCGAAGCTTTGTTTCATGCATTTTTTCAAAAATATCATCATCATTACACATTAATCAGGACCATTTCTAGAGTGTTTATTTCATTATACTTGTTTTCTTTGTATGCTTGTTCAGTTATTTCTGAAGGAAAAAGCATTATAACTGTTTTTTTATTTTAATTATCTTTCTTCTAGAAGAAATTAAAGGAAACTGTAGAAATCTTCCTTCTGCTTGAGGTTGAAAAGAATAAAAGTAATTATCGAAAAAAAACGAATACGAAATTGTCTCTTTCGCAGATGCAAAGTCAGATTCAACTGAGGATTGAAGGGGAAATAGTCAAAAAAAAATAAGTTAATGATCAAATTTTCAGTACACAGATGCATTTCCAAGTTAAGATATGAAAAGAAAAATCAGTGACACAAAGAAGGTGGTACTACCTACCATGATACTTGCTCCTCTCATCGCTATGAAACGAAGCAGCAATGGTACGGATTCTTTTGGATAATTTGTAAACATGATGAACTTCAACCACTAACAACGCATGGATGGCAAGTGGTGCTTATCAATTGCGATTGTTCACTTGTAAGATGGAATTCGAGCATAAAAGTATCGTAAGCAGCTTAAACGATTCTTACAGAAACTTGGAGAGCTATCGGATACAGTTCTAAAACCCGAACTGTACGAAAGTCTAGCCAAAGTAGTTGTCCCAAAGCACGTATGCCACTCTAATTGAGAACATTATCAAAGTCGTAGTACACTATAAAGCGGAGATCCAAGCTGAGGACAATAATCAACTACAAATCCTATAAAAATGAGTACTGGTTCATGAAAAACTTTGGGATGATACAGAACAACGAGTGACAGCTAGACAAGAAGTTTGGCTTCACAGAGCCCGTACTAAGCAGAACCAGTCCGATAGACTTTGATGCTAAGGTTGAAGTGGATAATGTAACTGACTCTACGACTGAGAGTGTAAGTTGTGTCTGAAACTGACTTCCCACCAAGATAGGTAGCAGAATGATGATTTGAACGGCAACTTAAACGAAAATAACGATTGAGAAAGGAATCTTAATCAAAGCAACGATACATACGACGATGGTAGCCGAGGCAGCTGCTAAAAGTGATTCCCCGGTTTATGCGAGAATCAGAAAAGATCCTGAGGCCAAGACTTCATCCGAATGTCGATCTCTGACGAGGAA